AGCCTAGTTTAGCAATGCGTCTGTGGAGTGACGATATGCACTATTACCTTTCCCTGAATGTAATGTTTCATTAACCTCAAGGGGAACACTACGTTTTATGTTATTTTGGGCATTTCTGTTTGACACTGAATCGGAATATCTTTAGAAACGGTTATAAAATATGGTTTGATGGTTTAGTTTTGATAGCGTATCCTAATGAGGGGCACATTAGAACGATCAAACCATAGTGTCGATAACGTATCTCCCCCACCTCAGCCCTCTGATGTTAATGGGTTGTGCGATTACTTAATGTTCTCTGATAACGTATCACAATGATGTTTCTTCAAAAACCTTACAAGGAACATGCACAACCAAACCATGACGCATACACTCTAAAATTCAGGAATTTTGTCTCTGGAAAATCAACGTGTGTTTCAAAAGCAAAGATTTTAAATAGAAGTAGTGTTTTAAGCAGAAAAATGTATTTCGATATGGCAAGATAGTTGATAAATAAGTGAACAAATAAAGTTCTTTACCTGCACTAGGATCGATACCCGACTGACTTCATTCCGTCAACACTTTAACTATGAATAAGCTATGATTTGAAAGTGACAGTAAGCGAAGAATGAATGAGTCGAGAAGCGTCTTCTCTGTCCTCATATACACTTACCGGTGAGGTAGGTATGCACGTTAGTTGGTGCTTGTTTCTACTAACACAGCATTAAGGACTGACAAAACGAAAAGTTTAAAAAGAAATAGATTTAACTGCTTTATGTATAACAATACCACGCCTGAAGGAACTCTACAACAGTTAAACCCCGTTTCCTATACATATTTGGAACAATAAAGTTGATATTTCTGAAATCTTTGTAATATGAACGATCCACACTCTCATCCTCGGGCACCCCTCGTGGAATAGCAAAACACACATGTTTTAATCAAATGACTGTCAAGTAGGATTCAATAACGGGTATGATTTATCAAGAAATACACGTAACAAAACACCATAAATAACTGATAGAAATAATGATTATGAGGAGAACATGCTTTGATATTTATTTTCGGTATTAATGTTCAATGTCTTTACGATAAAATGGATACACGCAAAATCCCTTTCTTCTCTCTGAGTCATAAATCGTTGTCAGATTGAGAAAAGTTGTGTTACGGAATCCCAGCGGTATTGGAATTTTAAAAGCTGGGGACTTTAAACAAAAAGATAGCTAATCAGTTGTCAAAATGGATTGTCACGTGACTTTATCAATCATTGAATAAGGTCATAGCACTGTTTGCTCTTCTTTGTATAGAAAGTCGCGAGTTTGTCAGTACGAGGTCGACTCTGTCAGAAATGAATCACTCGAAAAGTTCCTGATGACATTGATACTCAACTATATCTTATAAGGTCCAGGTGATATGTGAGCCTGATGTATTACTTAGGTCCCAACATCCAGATACAAAACTGAGTTTAGGCCTCAGACCACATCAAGCTATTTTTACCTGATTTTGACCTAATCCAATATCTTTACCACAGGATGGAATGGTGACAGTAGAAGTTGTTTATACACTAGGAGGAATTTATCCCTCCGTTCCGGTTAAGGGATGGCCGTCGCTACTTGATTTATACGGATTCTTTTATGAATTTATCTTTCCGACAGAAAATGTTCATGTTATAATAATGACGTTGACATTTGTTTTTGTGTATTCATCCGTAAGCTGTATAGTAAAATTGATTTTTTTTTCTTTGTTGATCCCTGAAATACCAATCGATTTTTGCATTCTTTTTCTCTTTTCTTTTCTTTTCGTGTTGCTTTGCTTTTCCCTTTTCCCTTTTCTAAGAAAGGTTGATACGATGCTGTTTTGGCCAGTGTTTCCTGTACTTATCGATTTGTGAAATGTATAACATCCAACTAACCACACTGACCGCTTGTGTTGTGTGTAGTGGCTGAAAGTAAGTTTAAATATCAATTAGTGTGAGTGTGTAACCAAAGTCACCCAGCTACATCCATTCTCACTCAAATAAACGCACATGTCCAAGAATAATAATATCTCCATTTAAATAGTAGCCAAGGTAAGTGGAACTCGGTAATCAATAGCTAGTCTTTTTGTCGTCAGTGGTAGAAGTTGCCACAATACACGAAAACATGTAATGTTTAGTTATAGTGTCCCTTTGGTGGGCTTTTAACAAACTGCTGTCTAAAATAAAATCATCATCATGCAGTCTTTGGTGAATCAAGTCTTTGACTTTTGGCAGTGTAATGTAAGTACAATGGCCGAAACGTCGTACGATAACAATATCTGACCAGATTGGGATTCGTACACCTTCTGCACATAATCTACACTGTCGATGATATAGTGGTGATCTTTCTTTTCAGCTTTATGGCAGAACCCTCACTTATATAGTTGCCCCACTAGATATATCCAGCCACCCTTTTTGTATGAAAACTGTTCTTGTAATCCAGCAGTCCCATAATCTAGGAGCTGCAGCTGAGAACCAATAAAGCTAGCCTAGCTTTCACTGTACAATCATCTAATTTGCTTTCGGAATCCTATAATCTTTACATTAAAACATTTCTTTCGTACTTAATTTAAAAAGTTGATAGTATAATACTTATTTAATGTAATTAAAAATGTACTAATGTATATTCCGGATTGTCTTACCCAGTTCTTGATCCATTGTTTTACAATTATTGAATGGCCTCATTTTCCAGTTTACAATTTCCAATAAAGCTGTGCATATTTTGGTGTTATGGTTTGCTGATATTTACCAGATAATGTCAAGAATACTACAAACAACACATTCATAAATGTCTCAAATTATTACCTGCCAATGTTAGAATGTTACCTGAAATTATATTTCCAATTAGACAGAGCGGGAAATTATGGCCGGTAATCTAGAAAAGAAATAATGACCTGGCCGGGAGTAAGAGTGTTGACTCTGATTAATGAGTCTGTGAGCCTTGTGAATTCATTATCGAAATGCCGACTTATGACGGTTATTGGACAGGACGCATTCCAAATTATTTGACATGAGTGTAATGATGATGTAATGATCCCATATACATTATTATATATTTTAACCGTTTAGTGAAAAGATCTGTAACATTGCTTTTCGAAAATAATCAACTATCTGGCATTGTAAAAGGTATCCCATTGATTAACGCTCGCGTTTTGGCGATGAATGAAATGTTTATGCATGTTTGTGTTTGTTGAAAATTGAATTCAATAGCATGAATGGCAGCTTGACTTCACGAAATAACAATACCTTCAGTATTAATGATTAATCAAAGCCTACATATAACTAGAACAAGGACATTTAACACCACCAATGAAATCAGGAAATATACGACCGTTCTTGTATGTAACCTATTTATATATATATGAATTTGATAAATGGTATGGTACAATGTAATAAGATCATATTAACTTTATCAGGCAGATGTAATAATTACTTTAGAGTTATAAATACATGTATCCTAGAGTATGGCTATTTGGGTTGACGGTGGATTGGGTGGAGGTTGGTAACTTATCGTCTGTAATATCATGTTTACAGAAGTTTTAAATGAGGCCATCCCAATCCCTGACTCTGGTCCGCTTACTGTGTAATGCAATTCACAAGATGCGTAGGCAGAACATCCGGAACCTTTAAACTGCAACGATGGCAGTTTCTCCCTGTAGCTCTGTATTTCAATTTGATTGAAGAAATAAATGTCAAATTATCAAAAACATAAAAGGGTCTTTTTCATATTAATTTGTGTGTAATTAAATTATCAGCGACTGTGCAGTAAGAAAGCATTGCACGTCTCCTTGTCACTATGGTATTGGTAAGTGGAGTTGTCACCAGGGTTCAAATTTCATGATGCAAGGGAATATGTAATGTGGGTTCTATGAAACCTACTAGACAGTTTATAAGAAGGAGCAACTCACAAATCATACAAATACAATTGTCGGTGCTCGTCTTTTTAAGAGCACCCATTCACAATATGTCATTTATGATATACCATACATGCCGTGATTGAAGTTCAATCATTAATATTGAATCCGGGAAGGGGTATTCATATGAACTTGGATGTAGGAGGACTTTTAACCACAAACAAACAAACACATATGAACTTTACACACATAGGTGATTGCTCCGTTAACATTTTGTAATAGATACAATATGCCAAAATTGAATTACTCGGCATCATACAGCTGTTTCATCCTTTTAGGATCAACCAGTGATGCTGGGAGCCGAACTACTGTTGAAACACAGGGGCAGGTGCATAAACCCCCTTAATGTATGGATTTCAAAATCTAGAGGAGTACTGGTAAATTTCAAACACAATCTTCCAAAACTGTTGACATAAAATAAATTCGTGATGGAAAATCCCTTCTTTGAGAAAGATAATCTTCATCCTTTTTGAAAACAGAAGTATCTGCACATGGCAAGAAGCGATTTTTCGTCTCACATTTGTTTGTCTACCAAGTTTTTTGGACACAAATCCCTTCCTTTCGGGGGTTTGACGTTTTCTGATACGCCTGTCCAGCTCATCCGACAGATGCTCAATGGGAGACATGTCGGGGCTATATGGGGGCCATTCCAGAGGCTGAACGTTGTTTGCCGTGAGAAAATCACGACAGACTCTGGCAACATGCGGTCGAGCATTGTCTTGCTGGAAAATTAGGTTATGACGTCTGAGAAGTGGAAGGAC